TATTTCTGTGTCAGAATTGCCTTAATCATGACTATCTTTTCTACATCCATCAGTTTGCCTTCAAATTTAATGATGTCATTGTTTTTAACAGCTGAGTCTATAATAGATTTTCTGTATCCATTATTCTATTGAGTTTATTTACAGTTTCTGACTATTGCAAATAAAGATTCTATAAACATAGTAGAACAATGGTCCTATGGTATGGAGTGTTTTTAAGCATATGCCCAGAGTGGTATGGTATAACTGAGTCTTGAGGTAGATCGATTCCCAAATTTCTTAGAAACTGCCATATTTATTTCCAAAGTGGCTGTATAAGTCTGCACTTATCCCACCAGCAGTGGAGGAGTGTTCCTCTTGTTCCCCGTGTTCTTCCTCATAAATCTGTCAATGGTAATTTTGATCTTAGCCATTCTGACAGGGGTAAGATAAAATTTCAGTGTTGTTTTTAATTGCATTTCCCTGATGGCTAAGGATTTGAATATTTCTTTGACTATTTCTCAGCCATTTGATGCACCCCTGTTGAGAATTCTCTATGCAAATCTGTACTTCATTTTTAAATTGGATTGTTTATTTTATTGATATCTAGTTTTTTGTGTTTTTTATATGTTTTAGGTATTGCACCTATGTCCAGTGTGGAAGTGGTTAAAATCTTTTCCCATTCTGTGAATGGCCTTTTGTCCTATTGAGAGTTTCCTTTGCCTTACACAATTGTTTCAGTTTTATAACATCTCATTTATTAATTCTCAGTGTTATTGCCTGCTCAATTAGTATTCTGCTCAGGAAGTTGTCGTTGGTTTCAATGTGTTCAAGGCTATATCCCACTCTCTCTTTTATCAGGTTAAATGTATCTGGATTTATGTTGATGTCTTTGATCTTCTTGGACTTGATTTTTGTTCAATGATAGATACGCATTTATTTGCATTCTTATACATTCAAACATCCAGTTTTACCAGTGACATTTGTTAAAAATGCTGTTTTTTCTATTGTATAATTTTGGCTTCTCTGTCAAAAATCAACTGTCCAGAAGGGAAGTCCAGGGCAGGATGTGAGCTCTTGTCCAGAAGGGAGGTCCAGGTCAGGATGTGAGCTCTTGTCCAGAAGGGAAGTCCAAGGCAGGATGGGAGCACTCTCTGGTCCAGATGGGAAGTTCAGGGCAGGATGGGAGCTGGGAGCCAGTCTGAGGAAGTGGCTGGGGTCTCCAGCAGATGGCCATGGGGGCAGGGCGTCGAGGTTTGGAGAAGGGGATCCTTCCCGGTAGGGCTAGAAGGGGACCTGCCTGGTGGCCAGCACCTGGGGCCAAGTTAGGCAGGTCTTCCCAGGAGTAGCTGGTGCCCAGGGATTGGGTCTGGGTTGTTCCCAGATACTCACCTCTGGTCCAGAAGGGAAGTCGGGGCAGGATGGGAGCTGGGAGCCAGTCTCTAAGTTTCAGGAAGTGGCTGGGGTCTCGGGCAGATGGGCCTGGGGGCAGGGAGTGGAGATTGCAGGGGCTGCCCTGGGGAGGGGTGCTTGGAGAAGGGGATCCTTCCTGGTGGGGCTAGAAGGGGACCTGCCCGGTGGCCAGAACCTGGGGTAAAGTTGGGCAGGTCTTCCCAGGAGTGGCTGGTGCCCAGGGATGTACTCACTCATAGGAGGATATTAGATGTGGAATAAGGATGACTGGACTGCTACTCACATCACCAGGGAGCATACCTGGAAAACATGACCCCAAGAAAGACACAGGGATTGCCCAATGATGGAGAAATGGATGAGATCTACATGAACAACCTGGACATGAGTGGGAGCAATGAAGGGTGAGGGTTGAGGGAAAGAGAGCGGGAGATCCCAGCTGGATCAAGAACAGAGAGGGAGAACAAGGAATAGAAGACCATGGTAAATGAAGACCACATGAGAAAAGGAAGAAACAAAGTGCTAGAGAGGTCCACAGAAATCCACAAAGATA